TGACAAAACGGAGACTTTAACATGGTGATAAGAATGAAACTTCAGTTTTGCTGATATTATCAGAATTACCGAGACTGATTGAAGAGTAAGAGGATTGCTGTTACGACTAGGATTAACGGCTTTCATTTATGTGGCTTTATGTATGTGATGAGGAAAAGCATTTTGTTAAGGAGTTGTGTGTGGGTGTCTGTGTGCCAATGTGTGCATAACTTCTGTTTGGGCTTTCCGATCTCGAGATCTACAAAAACTATAAAGCTGAAACTTTGAAATCTTAGTCTCCACCTATGCATGCAACCTTAGGGTAAAATCCCGTGCAGACGAGCGAAAGAATTTTTGCGAGAAAGTGACTTCGGAAGTCAAGCAGAAGGTTGAGACTTCATGATGATGTTGCTGCCCATTTGCGTTCAAAAGAATTTAAAATCCACTCTCATACACACCCCAGGCCTTAAATACGTACGTCAGTTTAAACTGGCACCATGCCAGCACGAGAATTAATCTGAGTAGGAAGCTGTAGAGGGCATAATTTTTTATGATGCTGTTTGCTATCTATTGAAGTACTCGTAAAAGTGAATCAACCTTTTACACCCTCTGCATCTCACTTGCAGGAATGTGAAATTTAGTGCAGATAGCTCCTGTAACACAGGAACTAATGCTGAAAATTTCTGAGCTTGGCAGACAACTATGAAGGGCAGCTGCGTGTGACAATAACTTTGACATCCCTTTATGTTTCATACACGGGCACGCGCAATTCGACTAACTTTGCAACCATCTAGAATGTCGAAATCCTCTGGGCATTGCCCACGACATTACTTGGGCAGACGAATATAAAACAACCCGTCCCCACTCATGCAAGAACATATGAAATTTCGTAACTCCGCAGTCAAAGCAGCTAGAGTGCTGAAATTCTCTAAGCACAGCCCATAATAGTGTTGTGGGAATCCTTATGATAATTGTGACAACGAGGAAGCCATTTTCAACTTGTCTAGCTGGAAGTGCCTGCGGGGGAAAAGTGTCAATTAGTAACAAATATATGCCGAGAAAAGTGCACAAAAAACGCCTGCTCCCACCGGCAAGGTTGGTGGCTAGTTATTTAGTTTTGTCCCCCATTTCTCTTGTTTTTATGATTATTTCAAACTCACAATCGCGGGAACGCTGTGGAGAAGGTTTCTGATCCGGGCCGCAATAAGTTAATGCCGTGTCTTCGTCTGAATCAAGTCTTCGCAATTCTACCTGAACAGAAACTCATGTACAAGTCTGTGTTGGCATTTTAAAATTTGGGAACTTTTTTCCAGTCTTGTATTTTTAAAATAGTTAATAGCAAAGCTGCTTGTGTACAAATAATCACAAAAAATTACCCACTGTACAGCACCAAATTGTTCTAGATCATTCATATCGGGTGGAAGATCTTTCACGTAGCCACCACCACGACAAAAATCTTTCCAATTCTTGTCCTGCGAAACATAGTCCACTTCTCGGATACCTGGAGCCATGCGGTAGATGAGGTGGTAAAAAAAATTTCTGCGAAGAAAATGTATAATGAACTAAAATTTTTCAAAAAGAAAAATCAAGAAAAAATGAACCAGGTACGGACGAAACGCAAAGTAGGTGCGCAGAACATGCAGGGAATGTGTCCACCACGCTGTTGGGATTATTCGCATCCAGTATGGCAACATGACTATGCCCCTGATTTGAGCTACATACCCAGAGCAGGCTTGAACTTTCCCATGCGAACATTTCCATTTCGCGCACACTTTCATTCGCTTTCTAAAATACACAAAAAAACCTTCTTCCTCTTTACTTTTAAATAAAACCTGTCGGTTAATGGTAACAGCGCAGGAATTTTGCTGCTTTTGATGACAACAGCTAAGGATCACTGCACACCGTGTAGTAGCTGCAACACTGCACTCATGACTGAGGTTACGGATTTATCTTCGCCAGTGGACTAGCAAACTCCCCGTGACTCGTTCTTTTGTTCCGATGTTAAAATAGTACTTACACATCCAAAAAGTCACAACCGATGTTGTTTGCTTAGTATACAATTCACAAAAGAAATTACAGAAAGCTTTGCTAGCAAGTGGTCACTAACTTTGGCTCTGATTCTAGGTTATGGATTGCTGCGCCCCGCTAAATCTCACTCATGGAATGGGCATGATAAACTGACATCCGTCCGTATCTTTGATAAGGTAAAATTCCAAACACTAGT